GGTGCCGGTGCTGGTGCTGGTGCTGATGCCGGTGCCGGTGCTGATGCCGGTGCTGGTGCTGATGGTGGTGCTGGTGCTGATGCCGGTGCTGGTGCCGGTGCCGGTGCTGATGCTGATGCTGGTGGTGCTGATGGTGGTGATGCTGATGCTGGTGCTGGTGGTGCTGGTGCTGGTGCTGATGCTGATGCCGATGGTGGTGCTGATGGTGCCGGTGCCGGTGCTGATGCCGGTGCTGGTGCCGGTGCCGGTGCTGATGCCGGTGCTGATGCCGGTGCCGGTGCTGGTGCTGATGCCGGTGCTGGTGCTGGTGCTGATGCCGGTGCCAGTGCTGATGCCGGTGCTGGTGCTGATGGTGGTGCTGGTGCCGGTGCTGGTGCCGGTGCCGGTGCTGATGCTGATGCTGGTGGTGCTGATGGTGGTGATGCTGGTGCTGGTGGTGCTGGTGCTGATGCTGATGCCGATGGTGGTGCTGATGGTGCCGGTGCTGGTGCCGGTGCTGATGCCGGTGCCGATGCCGGTGCTGGTGCCGATGCTGATGGTGGTGCTGATGATGGTGCCGGTGCTGATGCCGGTGCTGGTGCTGGTGCTGGTGCTGATGCCGGTGCTGGTGCCGGTGCTGRTGCYGRTGCYGRTGCTGATGCCGGTGCCGGTGCTGGGGCCRGTGCTGGTGCCGGTGCTGATGCTGATGCCGGTGCTGATGCCGGTGCCGGTGCTGGTGCCGGTGCYGATGCCGGTGCTGGTGCCGGTGCCGGTGCCGATGCCGGTGCTGATGCCGGTGCTGGTGCTGATGCCGGTGCCAGTGCTGATGCCGGTGCCGGTGCTGGTACTGGTGCTGGTGCTGTTGCTGATGCCGGTGCTGGTGCTGATGCCGGTGCTGATGCGGATGCCGGTGCCGGTGCTGGTGCTGGTGCCGGTGCCGGTGCTGGTGCTGATGCCGGTGCTGATGCTGATGCCGGTGCCGGTGCTGGTGCTGGTGCTGATGCCGGTGCTGATGCTGATGCCGGTGCCGGTGCCGGTGCTGGTGCCGGTGCTGGTGCTGGTGCCGGTGCTGGTGCCGGTGCCGGTGCTGGTGCTGACATAAATGCAAACAATAGTCTGTTCATGTTTGAATTCTAAAGCTTGTGATCGTCCTTTTTTATTTTAGTTGTTTATTTGTACTATTATTTTATGTCATAAATCAAACTGTTGTGATGTAGAATTTAGATTTTGGTGTGTTGTTTTTTAACTTAATATTATTTTCATGTAGTCAACCTTGAACATTATATCTCAGTTTGACCTGAACTGTTGACCTGGTGAAGTAAAGGTTTGATTTGTTCTTCTCTCCTCAATGTGCTCATCCACTCATCTTCACAACTGTTCCTGATTGAAAAGGAGCTCGAGCAGCCGGCGGCGCTTAACATGATAGCTGGAAGAAGACTAGAAACCCTTAATGAGGACGGAGAGTGAGTCAACAGGCTTCAGGGCTGAAAGGAGTACGTCTTGTTGATTGTCCTCCTCGATCTATATTCTCTGAAAATTGAAGCGACGGAGATCATTAAGAAGAGAAATGCTGTAAAATGAGGAGGAAGAAATAAAGAGCTGCTCGCTGCAGCTTTTATCAAACAAACGGGATTATTTTCATATGAATTCATATTAATCTACATGTGGTGCTGTAGCGAGTATTTGTATGTCAGATTGAGTGAAGATAAACTAGTGTGATGATGCTGATGAAGAAACAACAGAGAGGCTCATTGATCAGCGCATCATTCATCCCATAATGAAGAAAAGACAGCAGGCGTTGTTTCTCACCTTTGAGAAGACGAGAAGCTTCACTATTCTGCTGATGGTTTAAACACTGACTGATGCTGCAGCAGGCCTCCGAGCACAGATGAGTTCCAGATGGTGTTCACGTCTCACAGAACAAATGTGCTTCAATACGTGTCAGTAAACATTCCCTGATTTACTTCATACAAAGTGCATTCATCAGCTCTCAGCAGCTATGATTAGAGAATGATTATAGGTTTTATGTTTTTAAGTTTAGAGGACTACATTTCAGAATTACATGCTTTCTAATGACAGTTATTACTAGACGGCAAACTCCGGTTCTACCGAGTGAAGCCAAAGCTTCATGTGTTAAAGCTGCATTCTCTCTAGTGTCCACCAGGGGGCGACTCTACTTCTCTCTTGATTTATTACCTCAGTAAACATTGTAAAC